TCCTTTTTGATTGCCATTTGACTGTTACATGTTTTAATGTAGGTAATAATCATATCATGCTTTTTACGTATTTTTTTAACTGTCACTATTCTACTTTACTGAGGGTTGGTTTAATGCAGTTATTTTACCAACAACAGCCTAAAAGAGTTTGATAACAAAGAAGTATTTATTTATTAAATAAAACCAAGCAAAGGGGTAGATCTCTTTTTCTTTCATGTTCTCTTGTAAGTTCTTCATCTACTATTCTGTGCACGTGTAAAACTAAAATTTTGTTCATTTATTATTTTTGGATAAGATTAGTTGTTCTGTGGTTGCTCATTCTCTTTCTAACCCTTGTCCACCAAATAATGCCACCAATAATTCTGCTAATATGGGTTTAATACAAAAGTTTGATTGATAAATGTTGCTGAAACCTAATCTTCTAAATAGGTGTCCAAGTACTAAGATTTTGTTTTATGATACCTCTCTTCCCCCCCAAGATGTGAATATATTTGTAGTCTACGGTTATGTGTACAATAAAAAATTTTGTTTTGGCTTAGATGAGAATATGGACCCAGAGCTAACTTTGAAGTAACCACAGTATTTCTCTCTTCATAGTTTTATGATTTTATTTTTTTAAGAAAGGTAGAAAGTAACTGCATAATGTTATTACAAACTTTGAATAAATAATTTTCTAAAGTAGTGATGGCTAATGTATTGGTATTTACAATGATCATTATCATCATATAGAAAATTGTTTATTACTCCCAAGTTATTAAAATTGTCATCCTTACAGTACAGAAGTCTGTCAAACAATTTTAATGATTTTATCTTGTTAGCTATGTTAAATTATTTTGTAACCTGAACCAACCCTACTTATTATCTTTAATGTTAATAAATGATTGAGCTAAAACAATGTTAAGTTATTAACATGTCACTCGCATAGTTTGTTGCACTAATGAAATGTTTGGCCTCAGTAGTGGAAAAAGATTTAGTATAAATGACAAGAAATAAAACTATATGTAATTTATATTATATAACTTGTTATAAAAATCAAGTTATCTACAGATGTTTCTTTTTACACATTCCTCTCAATTTTTCCATTACAGCTTAGAATCAGAGGTGTGATAGATCTGAAAAGATATTTTTACACACCTCTGATTTTGGGCCACAATGGACAAATTAAGAAGAATGTGGAAGAAAATGCATCTGCAGTTAACATGATTTTTCTAATGACTTCAGGTCTATTGGTTTCCAATACTTCACCAGCTTTTCCCATTTAAACCATAACTTTCAAAATGTTACATAACTGATGTTCTAGAATGTGTACATGTTAAAGCAGTGACAGTTACCATAACAACAAACATTGAATGGCAAGAAATTACTTTTTTCAGGTTTACTTTTATTTTTATTCAGAATTTTTTTTATTTTTTTTGTATGATAACAGAGAACCTTACAGTTATTGTAAAATTAGTTAAAACTTGATTATATGTTATAAATGTAAGTTGTATTTATGTAAGTTACTTGGAATGATAATATGAGAAAAAGTAAGTTTGTGTTTTGAAGCAAAGTTTGAATGCATTTTGCAATTTCTTTTGTTTTAAACTGGATATATATTAAAGTTCAAAAGACTACCTTCAGTAGGGTGTTTGCTAGGCTGTTAAAAGACATGACTGTTAGACTATTTAGTGGAACTTAATCAAAATTCGTTAATCAGGAACAGGTTTATATCATTACACCCACAGTACTCAGTACAGCAGCATTTTTGTGTGTTAATACATAAATTGTATATGCAAAATAAATGAGCATCACTTGTTTTGAACTTTGTTGTGTTTTTGGCCTTTAGATTTTTCTCTTTCTTTAGGAATAATACATACAACAATAATGTATTGTCATCTATATCATTACACAACAATAATGTATTGTCATCTATATCATTACACACAACAATAATGTATTGTTGACAGTATCTGGCCTGTTATTAATATTACCTCTTTGAATGTTAGACTGTTATCCATTCATAATACTTTACAATAAAACTGAAAAATAAATGAAATTAATTTCCAAAAACACTGATCTCTTAGATTTCAATTTTAAATAAAAACATAATTTATAAGGTTACCAAGTTCTAGTCTTACACTTTAGTTTTAAATTATAACAAGTATTTTATAGTCCAGTTTCAAAATGGGGCACAAAATGTCAGTATTTTTTTCCTAACAAATTCTATTTGGTGTTGAACATTGACATTCTCATACTTTTTACTTACAGTGCATATTTATTAGCTGTTGAAAAGCTAAAAATATACATTTAGCCCTTTTACCTACATTATAGGGCAGATAGCACAACTTCGTAATACAGGCACAAAGGCTGCTACAAGGTCAGGATGGCAAGACAGAAAGCCAAGTTCCTTGGCTTGTCCTGTGAAGAAAGGAGAAAATCTGTGTAATGAAGATCCTTCTGGTGAAGTTGATTCAGAAAATTATATCAACTCAATTTGAAACAATACAAATAAAAAGAAACATTGTTTTTACTTTCTCAGTTTTGATTTTTTTCAAGACACTGAGTTTTTTCAGTGATGAAGCTGTGGATCAGCAAATGTATCTTATTAAGTGAAATAACAAATATAATTTGTAATTTACTTTGAAAATCAATCTTCTCTATACCCATGAATTGATTTTATTTATTAATCTTTGTATAGTTACAGAATATGTGAGAAGTTTATGGCATTGTGTTTGATAGAGAATCTATGTAATGTAAAGATACCTATAACTCTCTGTAGTCATGTTAGTTGAAGTTTATATAATAGTCACTGGATCATGATTTTATGATTCAACGATTAGAACTCGTTTTTGTACATAGAACGTCCTTCTTTATTTATTTTAGCATTTAGACTTTGGGAAGATAACATCTTTCTGTTGTATGTAGCTCGGCGACGATCAAATGTGGTGAAAGAAGTGGATAAAATTAAGAAACAGAGAGAAGAGAGAAGGATGCGACAGGCAGAACAAAAAGCTGAAAAACAGGAGCTCATGAATGTCGATCCTGGAAATCCAAACTGGGAATTTATAGGAATGATAAGGTAAAAATATTTCAATGTTAATATATGGGGTATGTAATAGAGAGAAAATATGAATTATATAATTGTATAAAAAATTAATTTCAAAACAAATTAAAACTTGCTGATCACTTCATTTTTGAAATAATTTGTCTAGAAATCATTATAAGTAAAATCACTATATTTAACCATTTGCTTCTGGGCATGACTCTCTTCCATTTATCATGACCTTTTGCAGTGTTATAACTTAAAATCAAGATTTAATTAAACAACTTTATTATCAATAATATATGTCAATAAACTTGGCATGAAAATTTAGTGTATAATTCAAGTTTTTATATTATCTAAGTTTTCACTTCTTAATTTCAAAAAGGAATATTTAAAAATTATCTTTTAATTTTCCTGTGTCTCATGATATGTCTGAACTATGGTTTCTTCACTTCAGAATTTTTGAACTTCAAAAATATGCTGCAGTTTCCAACCAATTAGAAGCATAAACTAACCATAATTAGAAGCAATAATCTAAAACTTGAACCTCCTACCTTCTAGAGTTGCTGAGATACCAACAAATTTGTCAAACCCTTCCCCACTTTTTCTCTTACATTTGAGGTTGTTGTGCTAATCAGCCGTTTATGGCTGGTGGACATGTTTATAGCCAATAGGAATAAAGAATTTCTTTTAAATAAAGCTTATTACAGTTATTTGAATTTGCCATACATAAGTATACAGACTGACATAGTTCCTCTGTCTTTGACCATTGTTATCCTACTCTGAATGGCAAGGGAACTTTTGCAATCTATTAGTTTACTTACAAAGCAGATATATTTTAGTAACTTTGGGACATTCTATCCTTGTGCATGATATATTTTTTTGTGTTCTAGAATGCATATTTGTGAGACTCAATGAGGTTTAGAGAAGAATGGTTTTGATTTTTACTCGGATACAAACAATCTCAATTATGCAGCAAGTACTACAAATTCTTGTTTGTATGTATATTAATTAATCAATTAAGTTTTAAACAAACTTAACTGAATTGTAAAAATTAAAAGCTTCTCAGACTAACAAAAGTTTGGTAAAATTAAACATTTAAAATTTCAAAAGCATGTATCTTGGCATATTTCATGTGCTGTTTTAATGGTCAGTTTTCCATAAATAGTACAGCTCATGCTGTGATTTATTGCTTTTGAAATGGTAATCACTGCTTCAGTTGTTACAATGCTCAACAATGAAACTATAAAAGAAAACAGATGAAAGTTTAAAGGTAATTAACTTAGAATTTGCTGATCAATAATGATCAGTTCAGAGTAAAGATTCTTATTACTCATTTTATTTCATGTTTTTTTAACTTTTCATTTCATTATACATTGATGATTTCTGTACAGTTATTGTTGAGGGTACAGAAAATAAAGCTCTACCAAAAAAAGAAGGTTTTTATATTCATTTAGGAGGTTCTCAAAGCTATGTAAATGTAATATGGGAACTATAAGATGTAAAAAAATATTTTTTAATTCTTAACATAAAAATCACCTTTCACTCAGACTAACTCAGTAAAGGCTTTGGAGATTCACTGAAAAATCTTTAATAAAAATACTTCATTAAAAAATCTGATTTTTGTGTAAAACAGACTAAAAGCTTGCCAAATTTTGTGTAAATTCAGAGTTACCCTAAAAGTTAGTGTGTATAACTTCACAGATTTGGGGTCAGTCATATTGTTTGAGCCCGTGAATAGATGGTTAATTATCTACACGCATTACTAGATTTATTTTTAGTTTTGATCTAAGTAAGTAGCTTGCTTTGATCTTAAATTAATCTTAATCATTTAACTCAGTGAAAGATATCAATTTAGTTTTGTGCAGGAGTATCTAAACATGGGCAAAATTACAAATAACGTTTTCTCATAAAATTTAATAGAGAATACCAGTCTCAGTTAGAATACAAGCCTATCATGATGAATGACCCTGTTCAAGTTCAGCAGATTTGTGTTGCTGTCAGGAAGAGGCCACTAAATAAGAAAGGTAAATGTTACTACAGTAAGACTTTAGAACTATTTCCTACATTTTCACTTCTACTTAGTCTGGCCAAGATTACAGATCATTACCTGACACTGTAGTTTCTATCATAAGTTTCTTGTGAAAGACAAGGTCAGTCTTAGATCACACATCTTGAAGTTTCTCTAGACCTTCCACTGTATGTGGACATTGGCTTCCAACATTAAGCAGACCAAAGACACTATATAACATCCATTGTCACTGCTCTGAGGAACTTAACAGATGTGGCCAAGTGAGACTGCTCTGATTCCAGTTTCTTCAATCATGTTTTTCTCCAAGACAGCTGTTGATTTTAAGGTGAGGCTAGAACTTGGCTTGTGTGCCTTCTTGAACTTCAAATTATTATTATGTTTATAGCACTGATGGATTTTTCCCAGCTTTATTGTAATAACATTTTGAGTTAGCAGTTCTCTTTTATAACTATAGACTTCACTTTGCAAATGATGCAGTCACTCAAGATTGGCATGGGCTATAGTTTTAGAGATTTTGCTCTATTAAGTGCCATGTTGTGGGAGTTGTTGTTTTTATCATGGAGGATATTGAAGTCTATTTTTTGGTGTTCTTTGGGTCTGTATTGTTTAACAACTTTGCTGTACAAATTTCCTTTCTTGAAAAGGGTAAGATATATTCCTTTAGGCTTAAATTACCAAATACATAGCACTGTTGGTTGTTTGAGGATTTGTCATCAGCTAAACATGTCACCTGTGGTATCACAGCTTGCATCTGCAATAGCATGCCACTAATTTACATATCTTCTATTGAAGGATTTATGACAATCTTTAATAATTGAAAATGTCTTGTTATGAAGATATGTTTATGGCATAATACTGTAAAATGTTAGTTTTTTTTAATTCATTAGCATATGTTATAGATTATTTTTAAGTAATAAAAAACCAAGAATTGTGTTCTAAATCTACAAATCTCTTGTGCAAAACGATGGCAAACTTTTTAAATTTTTCTAAATCTTGTAAAATGCTTAATCCCTCATTATGTTTTGAACAGAAAACATGAGAAAGGAAGTGGATGTAATTACTGTACCAAACAAAGAACACATTATTGTTCATGAGCCGAAGCTTAAGGTTGACCTCACAAAGTATCTAGAAAACCAAGTCTTTAGATATGACTATGCCTTTGATGAGACATCTGATAATGAATTAGTCTATAAGTAAGTGGAAAATGTAGATATGAAGCACACATTCTAAACTGTATTATTTGTTTTACATCAACAATAGTAATTTTATCTCTAACATAAAGTAAGTGTTACCTTTGTGTGTAATTTTTAGGTAATGAATAATGTACTAATTAAAAATCTGTGTAAAATGTCATAAGTAAACATCTAAAATTTACATTATATATAACATTTTTATTTCATGTTATCTTCCAAAGTTAATCAACAAGTGGTACTAATATTATAATTTGCATTTTCATATTTCAAAAACTAAACTATGAATAGTATGTTGTAACATTATCCATCTTTTTTAATGTTTTAATACTTCTGCAAATGAATTCAAAGAAAGATTTCATGGAACGATATTTTATAGTGGATTATCTTCTACCATCTTTAATGTAGTTCCTGATTCATGTACAAAATGAGCAGCTGATACAGCAAAATTGTGGTTATTTAAAAAAAAAGTGATCCAGCGTAAGCTCATGTTTTATTTAAGAGGAACACAAAAATTAGTTGTGGGCACTATCCAGATGCAAGGATATTTGATCAAATGTGGTAAACAAATAATAATTGAATAATCTGCAATTATTAGACAAACAAGAATATTAAAAACTAGTGAAAATATATTTGTTTTGTATTTTGTAATTCAGGATGAAGATATTTAGATTATTCTATAAGTTTGTTTCTTTGGCAGTTTATTGCATAAAATATTTTTTGTTTATGTATTGGTAAAATCTAATCTTTCAAAATAATGTTTGTGTATGTTTCAAAAAAAAAAAATATCTCATTAATGTACAACAGAATTATTTCTTGTAAGGAATGCTTCAAATTATTTAAGGTACTTCAATCTTATCTTTTGATTAAAAATATGTTGTGTTTTTAATTTGCATTCAAGCCCTAATTTTAACCACAATACTTGTTTCTCGTAGATTCACTGCTAAACCATTAGTTCAAACAATATTTGAAGGTGGGATGGCAACCTGTTTTGCCTATGGACAAACTGGAAGTGGAAAAACGCATGTATGACTTAGTTGAAAATTAAGAAATATTTCTAAGTGTTTTTATTTTTATTAAGACAAGTATTTATAAAATTTTACTGGATGGCCACATATTATTTTTATACTATATTCCTTTTTTAATTCTGTGTTGTTGTTTTTTGCAGGAGTGTTTTAAACAGTAACATTTCAATGATAAAGTCTATTCCCAAAAATTTATAACTGCTATTTACTGGTATGTTAATTTATTGTTGTCAATCTTGAATAAACCTATCTAGAACTCAAACTGGTACTGTTGAACATTATTACATATTTTATTTTGTAATTGATTTTAATAAATAAATAAAAATGTGGGTTCTTGTATTTATAGTACTTGGCTTTTTTTTTTTTTGTGCTTATTCAGACAATGGGTGGAGACTTTCAGGGTAAATCACAAGATTGTACTACGGGTATTTATGCACTTGCAGGTTAGTACTGTTTCTTTTTTATGTAGCATCATACAGGTTAGTGCATGTTTAGTTCTGCTCTCTTCTGAAATTTTTTATTTGTAGCAAGCATGCTATATGTTGAGTTTTTATTTATTTTTATTATTATTATTGTGTGTGTGTGATTTATTAGGTAACAAGAGACCAGGTTTTAATGTGTCTATAAACCATGAGCAAATAGAAGGTAAAATTAAAATTTAGGATTTATCATAGCTCACAAGTCTATCTAGATTTTAGATCTATTTTTTTGGTTACATTTATTTTTGTTGATCATGACAAACTCCTGATATATTTTCTATTTTATTTTTCAAGTATATTAACATGATTAAACAAAGTTAAATTATTTTTAAAAAAAGATTAATTATTAAAAATTTGTAAACTGTCATAATAAGTATTAGATATAATACATTCATTCAGTTTTGATTTTTCGTGGTGAATAGTACTTTAAAAAACACCTTAATGGTTTTAGATGAGCATCACATGAGCAAATGTTATAGAATCTTCCATGAAACATTTTTGTTTTGATTGAAACTACAGACATTTGACTTTTATTGCAGCAAAAGATGTTTTCAAGTTCTTGAATTCAGCCAAGTACCGGAGTGAAGACTTAATTGTGACATCCAGTTTCTTTGAAATATACAGTGGAAAGGTAAATATAACAAGATTTATAACAGAAAATCATGTGTTCTTTTATTGCAAATGTTGGAGCTCTAACACATATTTTATGAAATACATCATGTTTTATGTGTTTAACCACTTAAGCCTTGTTTATTGTTCCTACAACTAAATGGAGCTGGTTTTTGTTCCTACATTCATATATTTATTCCTGATTAATTTGTAGTTTTTGATCATTTTTCACCACCTTTTTTATATAGTGTGAATTGGTCACTTTTTTATATCAGTAACTGTTCTTTTGAAAAATACCTTTACCCTGCATTGAGCTGGACACTTGTTTACTACTGAGGGTAGTCTTCCCAATTCACTGATTCCTGGAAATACCTCTTTTGTACATCACCTTGTCGAGGATAATAATTCATAATTTTTTTTATTGGTAATCCTTTTCACTAAAAGATGTTTTACTTATTCATATCTGAGATTAATCTTCTGCACTTGCTGATTGACATGCCTTTGACTGAGGCTGTTTTGCTTATCTGAGATGTCTTTTTAATTCTGTAAGTAATATTTCCTTCACAGTGATTTAGTTAGCTTTACCATAGGTTTGTGTGTATTTTACTGATTTCAATTAGGTGTTTTCTATTTAAGCTAGTGTTCAAATTTAATTATAAGTGATATTCAGAGATAAAATAAAAATTGACAATGTTCAAAATAAAGCACAAATAATGTTACTATTCTTGATTATGTAATATTTCAACCACTTAACTGTTGGTTTTATTTTTCCATTTTTTAAAGTAAACCAGTACTCTTCAGGAAAAATGAAGTTACAGAGCAATTAATACCAATTATTATTAACCAATAAAGATTAAAATGAGGAGTTTTGCACAAATTGCTTCAGTTAAGCTCCTGCATTTGATATAAACGTCATGTCCAATGAACTTTGGGTTATAAAACCTCGCAAAGAAAGTTAATGAAAGTATATAAAGTAAATTTTATTAACCTGTAAAAAATAACTTATTATTTAACTTAAGCATATATATATTATTTCAGCATAGCATCTTTGCAATATGTTTAAATTTAATAAAATTGTTATTACATAGTACAGCTAAAATAAGAAAACTTGAAAATATATTTCTCAGACATTATAGTTTAAAAATTCTTGTTTTGGATAGTTATTCTGTTGGCTATGATAAAAACTCATTTTATGTTTTTACTAGGTGTTTGATCTGTTGAATGAAAAATCCAAATTAAGAGTTCTAGAAGATGGTAAGCAACAGGTTCAAGTGGTAGGCCTCCAGGAAAAACTTGTAAAATGTGTTGATGATGTGCTTAAGTTAATTCAACATGGCAACAGTGTTAGGTAAGATTAGTTAAGAAGAAACATGTCTGTTTCTCTTTTTTTAATGGGGAAACAATGTTGGGTAATGGTTGTGTTAAGTTGGAAGTGTGTTTTCAGTTACAACTTTCTATAGAAGTCCATGGTAGTGGGCAGAAACACAAAATAAATGATAAAATAAGGTACAGAGCATAAACTGGAAAACAAAAGTAATACTCATTATTATACAGCAATAAATAAGGAGTTTGTGTGTTTGAACAGTATACACTGTTTTACTCTGTACATATGGGCTTGGCCAATTTGATCAACTGTGTAACCGTGGAACTATACATACTATTTCTCTCCTTCACGAAATTTTTCCTTGCTTTAAGTGAAAGTTACAAGTCTAATGTACTCAAAAATTGGATTTTTTAATAAAGTATTTTTACTAAAGACTTGTCTGTAAGTTTACAAAGTCTTTACTTAGTCAGTCTGAGTCAAATTTGATTTTCATGCAAAAAATGAAAATACTTCATTTTCTTTTACACTTTTCATATTTAATTTGTTTAACCCTCTCTCCATGGACATCTTTTTTCTGTGCATGTCATGAGGTTTTAGTGAGCTACATTCAAAATTTAATTAAACTACTTTCTTTTCATCATTTACCAATAAATATAGTGTAAAAACATAGCTAATAATCCATGTTTTAATAGTATACAAGTTCTTACCTTTATAAGGCAACATTTAAAAAAAAATCTATAATTTCCCTTAATGTGAAAATTGTGACATTTACTCTGTTGGCATCCACTCTTCTCTAATTTATTTACCATAGATTTAATATAAATTACTTGTTATAATATCATCATTGCTCGGGCAAATCATACTTTTCATAGCTTTCAATCTTATTTGGTTACAGAACCATGAAATAGACAACCAGACCCCTCTTGCCACACCCACCTGTCATATCCTGTCTTTCATATATTGCCAATAGTTCTTTCTGATATTCAACATTATATTACATTATTTTCTGTAAAGAAAATTGTTAATTTTGCTTTCGGTTCAAGCTTGATTCCCATGGGAAACACATCAACGAGCTTAGATGAAGTTGTAATGGCTCTTGTTGCATAGTTAGAAAGCCAGAAAAAATGTGATAGTTATTGGACATTGTCTGCTTTTTTGCAATTATTATTGTGTTGTTTGGTGCATTATTTAATTAAATAAAAAATTGTCTTATTGCAGTGCTACCATTAGTATAAACAAATAGGGTTAAATGTCATTGACAGTCAACAGCAATAATAAACAAAATAAAGACCCAGGTAAGTACTTTTTTCTTGTTTTTCATGTATACTCTTTATTTATTATTATAAAAGTAGCTAAAATGTAAAAGTAGAAAACTTTTTATATTAGTTAAGGTTAGATTTGATGAAATAATTAATAAATAGTGTAATAAAATGTTTTCATAAGGTATGCTTGCATGTAGCTCATGCATAATGTAATTCAGTAGTGTAACGTGAGCTACACATTTGCCAAGTAATTTACAACTTATAATGGTGTAACTAGTAGTTACATGGTTCAAAGGGCAATAAAGCTATAAAATTAAAGTATAAATAGGTGTATACGTGTATACTGTTATGAGTTTAAAACTATTTAGGATAAACAAATGTAGCTTCATATTACAATTTGAAATCACTCTAGAAAGAAAAAAAGGGCAAGTTAGATTTTTTGTTGTTGGTATGAGGTCAGTCAAATTGACCAATCATGTATAAAGTTAGGGTAGATAAAATATAAAGTTTTACTGAAAAAAAACATTTGAAATTTATATAGGAGGTTTTAGGGATGATTCAAATGATATTTGAGAAGAAAAGTTTTTAATCTTAACGTGGAAATCACTTAATACTCAGGCTAATATATAGAAATACCATATACATTCATGCACATATCTTTAGTAAAAATACTTCATTCAAAAATCTAAATTTTTGTCTACAAAAGACTTGAATGTTTAATAAAAGTGTCAAACCTTGTGAAGATACACAAAGTATATTAGAAGTTATATTATGGAAACTATAACAATTACAAAATGGTTACAGGTTGGTCAAACTACCGACTTTGTAGCGAGAGAGTTAATCTCTAGTACATCTTGAATGAATATACAATTTCTTTTTTCCAATAAAACTTTATATTTTATCTCTTATTTTCTCAAAAAAAAACACTAACTGTATCAAAATGATCAATGTAGACTGAAATAAAAAGTTGGAAAATATGAAATAAAATGAATAATACAGTAAAAGCTTTGTTATCGGACACCTTCACATTCATAAAGCTCTTATAGATGGAAATTTTCATTATCTCCAAATACAAATAGGATGTCTTGGAACACACAAAAAACTTCTCTAAAATTTGTGAATGTAGTTATCTGATGCTGACATTTGGTGGTACTGCTATGGCTTTGTTTACATTCTTTCCTGTTGGCAAATTTCAGTAGTTAGCTGCCTGTAGTGTGATTCACGTTATGTTTATTTTATTTGTAAATATTTTCTACATTCTAATGTTATGGCTTCCAGTTCTAGCAAGAAATCAATGTTTTTATACAGTTTAAGATTTTTTACAACTTTTATTATTGTTTAAAACTGTTATTGTTATAGACGATGTAGAAATACTGTACTTTAGAACATTAACAAGGTGTCAAGATTTTTCCTGTAAAATATTATAAAGGAAACTCTTTCATAATCTGAATTTTTGCCTATCTGACACTGGATGATGGATGATAAAATGTTTTACTGTACTTTATTTTGTAGAATTACTATCACACTAGTATTCTGTGTGTGATTCACTTAAAATTGTGGTGCGAGTTACCATAATTCATCTAAATATCATCTGTTCCTTTTGTCATAGTGCACTCAGGCTGATTCAATTACTTTAGAACCATGCTTTGATGAAATAATTCTTCTTATCTCCTTTTATACTGTTAGCCTTACTCTAACATATTAAACATTATACCTATCACTTCTATGGTAGTTAACTTCACCCCAAACTTTTCTTTGTCTGTAACTTTACTCTCTTCTGCTATTGTCTGTCTACTGTTTTTGCTCATCTCACACTATTTATATCTTTATCACTTAATCGTCTGGCCGCTTTCTATATTCTCGACGTCAGTGTATTGCACGTAATGTTTGATAGTCTCAACATCAATGAATTAACAAAACTAAACAATAATAAAATATTCACTCACAAAAATATATTAATCAACAATATCTAAACTGAACGTCTTGTATGTCATGACAAACAGCTTCAGGTTTTAATCTTTTCATGTCTGCTTTCTTTTAATTTTTATGGTTTTATTACTTTACTTTTTACCCTCTCTCTATGTGAAAAGAATTAAATCACAGTTGGGATGTTTCCAGTGCTCCTCAAAGGAAACAAATAATTGGGTTACAGTCACGTGCTAATGGCAAGAAGTTTTAGCTTCCTCATCGAACTAAGTTTTGTTACCTAACCTAGTTTCTAATTCTTACATATTAGTTACTGTTATTAAAAACTATATAACAATAAATAGAAATTACACATAATAAACAAGAAATTTAACATTTACGATAGGGTTCAGCGCTGTTTGCACTTGGATGCAGTGCTTCAGTAATCATACTTTTTTTATCAATGTGTTGGTTGTCTAAAAATAATTTGTATAGTTTTCAAATATGTATGTTAGAACACAAAAAGTATATTAAGCACTATAATAGGATGTCTCAATAATAATAATAGGATTACCATAATTTTTCTGTTTTTCTACCTATATTATAAATAGGTTTGAAAAATTCCATTACAAGTCATACCAATGACTTTACTCAACACACATCAAGCTTTTTTTGCAAACTACCATTTTTGACAGCCCAAAACTGAACAAACCACATTAAGATTCCTCTACATACAAAATGCTCTTTCTATTGCTTATAAACATGTTCACTGACAAATAGGTGTAAATGAATAATTTGCTATAAATAATGAAATGATTGGTGGGGCTTCTGTGCTGGGTTGACAAATTCATTGATATCATAGTTTTTATATATTTCCTTGTCAAAATGTTTAGCTTGTATTTCTAATTGGTTAGGTGCTATAGAAACTGTATTTTTTAAGTTATAAAATCTGAAGGGAAGGATTCAGAGGGCATATGTGTCATGTGACATAGAAAAGTAAAGATTGAGAATATTTTTAGATATCTTGAAACTAAGAAACCAAACTTAGATAATATTAAAATTTCAGTTATAAACTACATTTTGATGCCAAGTTTATTGACATAAACACTGAAAACTGGTAAAGGTAATTTTTTTCTGATCAGGAATTAGTGAAATTTTACTGTAAACTGGTATTAAACCAGGAAATTTGAAGCATACATATAACAATGCTTATGATTGGCTGGTAGACAAAATGATAGCTGAGGAAAAATGGTTTTCTAAACATCAGTTCCTGAATACTTTCACACCTTCTTGGGAGTGCCCCATTGGAATGGCCTGAGTTGGTGTTCTGCAGTCATAACATAAGGTAGGACAATGTAGTTTTACATCAGCCACCATTGTGAACAGAAATAAAATAATTTTGAATATTTATCTACTGTGTCCACTACTTTTATGTTTCAGTATGTGACAGAACTAACATCTTAGATGGTGCATCTGGTTCAGCATAAAATCAGCATGTTTCACACCTATTTGCTTTCTAATTCTGTTGTAGATAAAATCTGACATGACTCGTACTTTGTCATTATTATTCCTCATAATAAATCTTAGGTACAGATAATTGTTATTAAAAAGAAATCAGTATCAAAAATCAACAATTTAAACATTGCTATCAAGTCCACCATAAAATTCATTGTAAATCTCATTAAATCCTGAAACCTGGAAAAAGTGAATTTTGACATGGAAATAACCAGGCACACACTGAAATTCTCAAGTTGTTAAAATGAAAAAATATTATAAACAAAAGCATAGTTTCTTTTATTAAGCGAAACCTTTTCATTGGTTAATCAAGAGAGTTTTACTAATTAATTAGTCTTTGCATTTTACTAAAACCTAGGAATAAACCAGGAAATTTTAAAATGTAAGAAGACAAATTGAGAAACATGGGTTTAGAACCATTATAGCTGTTGTGATATATACATATCAATCTTGGTCTACTGCATAGACAAAATAATTCCTGAAGTTCAAATATTAGGCTTAGTTCCAGCCACACCTACATTAAACATACATCAATGAACTCTGACTTGCATGCTGATCTTAAAGAGACTGTCAGAATGTATATTAGGTTAGTTAACAGGCCAAAAGTTCCTCACTAAGCTTCTTTCATTTTAATAATTTATGTCATTGCTGTTATATTACTAGAAAGCTCTTATTCTGCTTTATTTTTCAAAATCATTTTAGAAAAAGGTGTACTGTAAAGCCAACTAAAATCTCTCTTGATAAAGGTTGAAAAACATTATTTACATTTTAAGTTATAAAATATAAATATACAGTTTTGCTTCTTTATGGTTCTTTCTCAAGTGAAAGCATTTATTCAAATCTGACACACTTGGAGGGCTGGTGGGGTGAGATCTTTTGATTAGTGTTCTTGAACTGTGAATATGAGGCTTCATGGTTTGTGGCCCACTGCTGCAAAAATTAGCTTTTCACATCGTGGCTGTGTTGGTGCCGTATAAGAGTGTCGGTCAAATCCCTCTATTCAGTTAGAAAAGAGTAGCCCAAACGTTGGCAGTGAAGGCTGTTAACAAATTGTCTTCCCTCTAGTCTGTCAGTTGAGAATTAAGGTTGGCTTTGCACAGATAGCCCTTGCGGGAAAGTTATGAAACAAATAAATTGATACATTGCTACCCAGTTTACTATTTTATAGTATACTAATCCTTAGAGGCATCTTCAGATGATTCCAGGAATTATCCTTTTGAAATTTCACGAGACTGGTGTGGCACATGTGTAAATACTAAACACTTATAATTGCATTTTAAATTAATAACTAGCAATTTGTTGTTGTTTTTATACACAGAAACTAATATTTAGATATAATTCCTCAGTGATTTTCAATATTGAAAATTTTGTTTATTCATCTCATATTTCACATGTTTATTCATTGATAATTTGTATTAATCTACTGTACCTTTACCTCAGTAAGTTTATCTGCTTAAGCCTCACCAGTAAAATTGTTTGGAACATTTTTTAGTTTTCTAAAGAAAACATTTTAGTATTCTATAGGCAATTGACAAAGGTGTGTAGCAAATTCTAATTTAATCATTGTCTTGTGAAATTTTTATATTTCCTAAAGCTTATATTTTAGTACAAATTTTACCACTTTTTTTTTTTTTCTTTGCTAAGAACTTCAGGACAAACTTCAGCCAATCAACACTCATCCAGATCACATGCTGTTTTCCAGATTATTTTGAAAAAAAGGTAATTATAGACAAGAATGTTTCTTTTTCTGAATTAGTAAAATCTTTTTGTAACTATTTATTTTTTTAACTAAAAGAAATATGTTAAAAATAACCTGCATCCACCCAAATATTTTTGTCCTATTGGAAAAACTTTTGTGATGTATTGAAAGAAAGATAGAATAATATCCAGTTAGTCTAGTAGTAATTTACATCTTTACTTTCAAAGACATTATATTTATACTACTTGTTCTTGATCTGTATACCTTCACCTGACCAATATTCTCTCCTTTAGTTCTGTAATATTACTTACAGGTAATTCAGTAAAGAAAATTCACTCTGCCTCAATACTTGTTCTTTTTACACTGCTATGTAAAATCAAACTTGCTTTTAAAGTCAACCTAAGGAAAAAAGCAAAATTGGTCATTGTACACAAGTTATCTCTCTATAAAGTTGTAACAAAAGTTAAATATTGATTAGCGGTCTTATATACACACACACGGGTATGTGTGGATAAATGATTTATACATTCATGACCAGAGGAGGTATGTTAATACCTTGCAAAGTAGTTGTAATTTTCACTGTTTGGACATTATTCCATTTACTAGTAATGATAAAGTTTTATAAAGTAGTCCACTTTGTTGCAGTTTCTATAATAAGCAGAGTGGATGGCTTATAATATGTTTGTTCATTCATTCTGTGTCAAGTTCATCATTTTCATCCTTGGTAAATTTTTTTCATGGTTAACCATTTTATGGAACATGCAACCAAATATTCTTTGCAATAGCTTTAGTACAGACAAAGAAATGTTCTCTTCATGGCCCTTTGACCTCTGAATCTTTCTTCATAAATTCCAGGTTTCTAGAAACATTTATTTTACAGCTGAAGATTTATCAACTTTAATCCAGAAATATTGAACCGAGTGACTGCATGCATCTAGTGAACTTGTATTCTTCTAATTATCATAACATTTAGGTGCAGTCTGATTTAAAAATAAAAGTAATCATTCCCATTCTTTAGTCACTTTTACCACCTTAAGACAGATTTATCCATGCACTTATATTTCAAAAACAAAACAGAAATGTGCACATGTGATTGTAACATATACTAGTCTAGCTACGTACATGCAGTTGGATATAGTTATATATCATATGTACTTCTGCATTCTTTAGTACTTGAGGCCTAGGTATGTGTGACCATGAGTTTATTTGTTGAAGTTTGAAATGTTTAGAGAACAAACATTTTGCAAGAATTGCGATATGTGTTTGTCATGATGTTCATCATTAACACTGAATTACAGCTATTTTTAGTCATATTGAAGAGGTAGATGCTACGTAAAGGTTTTTTAGCATTGAATGGTAGTTGGGAACATGTAAAACTGATTGCTAGAGACAGGTTGTCACTCATACAGGTTTACAGTTGGACCATTTTCTCTACATTTTGTTATTGTCAACACTTGCATTGTGGTAGCTGGGATAATTTTATGTATTAGTTGTTTTTAATTAATCCTCTTCCAACTAATCCCACAAATTTTTTTAGCTTGAACCCATTCTTTATATATTTAATTTTCTAAGTAAACCATATATCCAGTAAGCACAATGTTTTGATATTATACTACAATCCACTCACTCCCATATGGTGTGTTTTGAGGGTTAAGTTGATAATACAGAATCTTTGTTAGTCATTTCATACAATGGGTTGGGTGTGGCATAGTGATTAGCATGCTTGTACAGTTAATCTGATGATTCATACTACACATCCTATTACACTAAAAGTGCTCTTCAAAATTTGAAGCCATGGATACTATATAAGTAAAATTTGGCTAATCATTCAGACAACAAGTGGTAGTGGATGCTTTTGACTAGCTGCTTTCACTCTAGTCCATCAGTTCAAAATGGCCAGGTGGTAAGGGCGTTCGACTCGCAATCTGTGGGTCGCAGGTTCGATTCCCCATCACACCAAATATACTCGCCCTTTCAGCCATGGGGACATTATAATGTTACGGTCAATCCCACTATTGGGTGGTAAAAGAGTAGCCCAAAAGTTGGCGGTGGATGGTGATGACTAGCTACCTTCCTTCTAGTCTTACACTGTTACATTAGGGACTGCTAGCACAGATAGCCCTCGTGTAGCTTTGTACAAAATCCATAACAAACAAACAGATCAAAATATTATCAAATGTTGAACTTAACTAATTTAACCCTTGTAATTAAATTTATACATATTGTCATTGTGGATAGAGAGGTAGTACTGAATTTATAGAGAAAAGATAAAAAAAAAAGTGGAAACATTATTAAGTAATTCAACTAGGAGCACAAGAATTTCTTTGAATGGATTATCCACCAGATAGTAGCATATTTCTACACTTTTTTATCAAGTTGTGTAAAAAGAAATTGTAATATCTCTAAAATCTCCAGTCCTAATAACGATTATTTTTTATGGCTAGAACTAAACTTTTTATTTTGTTTAATAGGACAACAGGTCGCCTTCATGGTAAGTTTTCCTTAATAGACTTGGCAGGAAATGAACGTGGAGCAGACACCTCAAGTGCAAATAGGCAGACTAGAATGGAAGGAGCAGAAATCAATAAAAGTCTGCTAGCACTTAAGGTGAGAGAGAGAGACTTGTTAGGTTATGCTGAAACTTTTGTAGATCATAGAGATGTTGGACGTGTCTAAATTTAATTATAAAATATTTTTGGTTTTTCTGTTTTTATCTTTTAACTAACTGCATTCAGATTGTTATTGAAGCTGTTCAGTCTACTTTTCATTAACTGCAGGTCACTTTACTATTGCAGGAATGTATACGAGCTCTGGGGCGTAAAGGGGCCCATCTGCCATTCAGAGCAAGTAAACTGACTCAGGTTTTGAGAGATTCCTTCATAGGAGATAATTCGCGTACATGTATGGTGAGCATAGAGAATATATTTTAATTTTCTTTTCTTTATATCAACCTTGTTGCTGTGATATTGTTGCTATTGTTATAATTAGTGATCAGAATGTTTTTTAGAAAAGTGAATATTGAAGGTAAAAGACAAGAATACATTTATGTAGCACTGAACATATAAAACCTTATTTCATGAGGAAAAAACACTAAATTTGAAATATCACTTTAGTTTTCTTATTTTATTACAAAGGCAAATTACAAATGGAAAAATTAACATCTGAGATGAAGCTGGCAAAGCTATTTTTAACTAGCTTCTCTTAGGTTTCAGTGAGAGGTAAACATTTGTAGAATTTCCTCAATACATCTGTGAAAACTGTAAAAAAAAACAACTGAGAACACAAATGCTTTTGAAAAGTAGCTTTCTAGGGATTACTTGGCATTTTAAATTTTCCTTTTAAGGCTATAAAGAGCTCTTAGAGCAAGGACATGAATATTTATAGATAACATGGGGGATGCTTCAGTGACAAGATACTGTCTTTGATGTAAAAGAAGTTTTGAATTCTTTAAGGTTTAAAAACCATTATCACATTCACTTGTGGATAGGTTCTCTTGAATATATACAGTAACACAAGGGGTCACATGACAATATGGAACATTTGGTACTAGATGAACAGGATTGTTGGCTTCCATAGAAAATCTATTAAACACACCCTTAATAAAATAAAATGGAAACTTTTTTTTTTAAGAAGCATATGATGTTCATAAGTTCTTTCAGAAAAAGCTCTATGAGCTAGCTACTTTTCATGTTCTATGAATCAGAATTTTGACTAAATATTTCTTGAAATGTTTTGAAGTAAAACTCTTAAAAGGTGAGTATAATCCTGAAAAATTTTTGTTGGGAAAACAGTCAACTTGAAAGAATCTGCCATAGTTAATCATATTAGTATCCAAAATAAAAAGAACTGTGAGCTACTTTGTTCTTCAATGGTGAATTAAATACTGGTACATTGTTTATTCAGATAATCAAGAAGTTATTTTACTTGGACTTGTTCATTAAAAACAACATATTTGTCACCTACAGATCTTCAGTACAACACGTCTGAATGTTTCTGAATTAAATAACATTAATTGTTTTAAATGTTAATTTTTTGTGTATCAGATAGCAATGATATCTCCTGGTTTGAGTTCCTGTGAACACTCGCTGAACACGCTTCGATATGCAGACAGGTAATGTCCATTTAATTATTGTTCTTTTAAATTGTTTGTCATGAACACATATATTAGAAACAAGTACTTCTATATTATTTTACAGTGCCTCCTTTATCCTTTTGCAGAGTGAAAGAATTGGGTATAGATAACCCTGAAAACCCTGAGATTAGAACTGATGAAGATGAAGAGATGATGGCACAAGATGATGATGATGATGATGATGATTTTGCTCTTTTAAGATCAACTAATGTAAGCATGACAAGAAGTTTCAATTTCTTTTATGATGAGAAGTTTGCCAAAACTGTGATTTTTTTTTAAAGATACTCAAACATTTATTATTAATACATTTTGTAAGCATGCTCTATACCCCTAAGATTTGCTATACAGACCATTTGAATATATGCTATTGAGAAATATTTTACACTATCACATGTCTGAGTTGCATTTTTTCATTATATTGAATATATTTTAAATAATAAATCTAATGACCTGTTTAAACATGATGACTACAGTAAGAGAATATACAGTTCCCTATATTTCAGTATAACTTTTGAATAATTGATACAGTATTTAGAAATGAACAAATCTGATAAGTATAATGATTTTGAAATCTTAAAAGTAGGGAGTTCCACAGAATTATAGATCCCATCCAGAGAAGTGTGAGAATGCAAAGTCACAGTTGCAAATATATAAATCTCCGATAAACAAAATATTAAATTACTGTACACCAAAAAACAAATGAAAAATGTCTACAGTACTATTGCACACAGAGTTTGCACTGTTTATTTCAAGGCAGCTGTACTCCCACTAGTTCTAGATTGGCTATAATTAAATCATGATGATTGCTAAACCTTTCCTCTACCATATGCTCGTGATCAATGAATGAGTTGTTGTTTGATCAATAAGGACCAGTTATATGTCAGTTGATAGTTCTCTTCATGCTCTACGTGGATCTGGGCAGTTTTTTTGTATCTAGAAGAATCTTCTACTTGAAAACAGAAACAAAACTTTAGAATCATTAATAAGTACATTTTAGCCATTGAATTTGTAGAAATGAAGCCATACTTTCAACTGTGTGGTCTGTATTACATAAATCATATACAGATATATATTTGTATGTTTGCCCAAATCCAACTGACAGCACATCAAAAAATAATGAATTGGAATTGTAAACAGACAAAAATTTGGCTTGGCAACAGTCTGCTTTATGTCGTATCATTGGGTGTAAGCAGATGATATGTTAGTCTGGCAACAGTCTGCTATACATCACATTGTAGTTTAATACCAATGAGAATACAAAATGTGTCCTTTACTTTCATAGCTACATAAGTAAGTTCACACTTTATTTTTAACATTTAGTTGATAATTTTCATTTCATTTATTAATATATATGAATTCATGCATATAGATTTTTAATTGAAGTATTTTATTAGGACTACATTTTATCTTGCTTTGTCATGCAATGTCTCAGGTTAGCTGGTAAAGTGATAATTTTATATCAATCCCAGACATTTTGTTAGCATTGTATGATTATTAATTGTTTTTCATTAATTCCTGAATACATAATTGGAATTGCAGTGTTAATCTACTAATTTTTGACTGTGGAATCCAATGGTGCGTAAATTTTTTATTATTTAAAAATCATCAAAATCCCCTATTGAAAGATAAAATTGGCTTTATGCAAGAGTTTTAACTTTATAGAAAGAAATCTAAGAATCTGGTAAAACAACTTCATTTCTTTTCTGTTGGAAAGTATTTTTCTTAATGACTGCTGACATCAATTTTTTAATCTGAAGTTTAAAATTTGAATTTCAGTGCTAATATAATGCAACTACCAACATTTTAACCCTCAAATCACAAACTTGTCTTTTATACTGTTCACTATTTTCTATGTCACATGCATATAAAACCCTAGTGGTAATTGATTGAAATGAATTCAACTTTAATTTTGTTTGTGTGACTTGTATGTTATTAGGGACCCTGTAGCATCAAAATTATACATCCACATGCATTTGGGTTCATAAACAGTTTAAAACAAAGTTTCTTAACTTTTTGCACCTGAAGGCCCACTTAGTTATTTGGTACAGTAGTAAAGATCCAAATATGCAGTTGGTAACTTACTAGTTTAGGGCAATCATAGATGTCCTGCTCCGAAGTGGCGCTCACAGCCTATTATGGAAAAGAATCACAGGCTTAGAGAAATGTGTTTTAATCCTCTCCTGACCCCATAGGACCTTACAGGTGTTGAATACACACCTGCATATCACATTTTAAAATTTAAATACGATACTTATTTTAGAATGTTATTTTATGATTTTTTAATATTTATTTATTATAAATCACAAAGAAAAATGAAAAATAAATGTTCTAATTTTCATTTCCACACAGCTCCAAGGAGTTTAATATGTATACAACACTTATAGTTGTTTTTTTAATTATATTTTCTGTTAGCCCTTTAAAATCTAATAGTCCATACATTCTTTCTCATTTAGTGATTTTATTATTACAGCTCTTCATTCCACCCCTTTTATGATGTCAAAGCATGAGATCTAAATGCAGTTGTAATGAAACAGTTTTAAAAATATTATAGGCACTATTTGAACATGGTTGGATAGAGCAGATTATAAAGAGTATCAATGGAGGATGAGTAAAGTGGTTTGAGCATTAATTTATGGTTTCTCAATGAAGTGGCTCTCCAGGGTTCTAATGGGAAGCTCATAAAACTTGGGAACAAACTATAGACCTGGAAATGTTTTTATAGTTTCTTTAGATGATCTTTTTTTTCCTGAAAATGTTTTCATGTAAGATTATATGTTGTTTGAAAGCTACTGAATTTCTCTAATGTGATAAGACATCGGGTATTAAAGGTTAGTTAGCTTTAGCAAGTATGGTAGGCAACAGCAAAATATTCCACTGACTCAAATCCTTATGTCTAACATCTGTGATAAAAGTCATGAAAATTGCAAATGTTTTTTGTTTTTATTTTATGCATTCCTCTTAATTTGTTCATTTTGTTCTTGTTTATCAAACATTATTAAGTTTATTGTATTTTCACAATGAACATAAATATAATAGCTTCTACATTTATTAGATATAACTTGATTTTAACCAAGAATATTGTTAGCAAAAATCATGATACCTAGCCTGATAAAGATAACAATGATATTATTTTGAAAGCCAAGGCTGTTGTTGAAGAAATCTATCATGACTACTGCAATTGACAAAATTGGTATTAAAATAAATATATTAATGGATATCAATCAAATTGAAAACAAATCAATAAATAAAATGGAACTTTCTGAACAAAAATAATAAAAGAAACAAAAATTTCAAGATGAAAGGAAATATATTTAAAACTTTTTTTCAGAACTGTTTCAGTTGTAGAAATTTCACAATCTAAAAATGATGGAAAGACTATGAAATAATATGAATTTTGTAAGTCATAGGGAGATACTATTTACTAAGATACTAACTATTCCTATTTCAGTGGATTCACTGATATTTAACCCAAGATTAGGGATTATGGTCATACCCTTTAAATTCTGATATCTTTTTTTTAACGTTTTTAAGTTTGATATAAAATGATCTGTTAAATTTCTGATGGGGGGGGGGGGGTAGAGTGAAACTGACATTGTGGAGATTGTGTTAATGTAAGCATGTCTGCTTCTGCAACTTTACTGAAACCAGACCAAAGTGCTTTCATAACACCGAATAAACTAACTAATCAGAGTCATATTGATAGTTAGACCATTTAGTAGCTGGTACTGCCATATTAGTTGCAATGGAAAAGTATCAAAAATAAAATTGACAAAACAAATCATAGGTTAGTTTACTGCTTAAACAATAACCATGAGTAAAGTAAAGAAGAAAATAAGAAACAAAATTAACCCCAACAATTACAAAAAAGGAGAAAGACTACAAAAGAAATAGTGTTAAGTAAATTAGATAGCTAAAAATATCCATAAATTAAAGGTGAAAATAGTGTTTTTGCTAATATGTTATTTTTCTGTTGTAGTTACTTGCATTCAAACTATTAACAAATCGAGTGCAAGGTGAATCATTTTAAATATCAAAATACTTTTCTTCTTTATATAGTTTTTGTTTTTCATTTGCATAATATCTAGAATCTCCTAAAAGGATATCAAAAGTTTTTTTTAAGGTAAATGTTTATAGTTCATTTTCTTTACCATATCAGTAATTCTAGCTATTATTATCAACATACAATGCAATGAAATGATTAAAATTAGGGGAAAAAATATATATACATTTTGATATTTTGTAGAATATCTTTAAAGATGTTTTGCTTATATTCGTAATTTCAGGTCTTTTCCTTTTCACATATAGTTAATTTTTAATGTTTTATTTTCCGTTCTTGTTCTTTACCACTTATCATTCATCTTGACACAAGTCAATGGTGCCCTGAAGGCATATTATAATTTCTTTGGGAAACATGTGCAACCCTTCTGCAAAATTTTTGTTCAGTGCATAATATCATAAGCCTTGAGAACGGACACAACTTATGATGTCTATTTTTAAAATGTTTAAACTTTATAATTATGCATTTTAAAACAAAACTAATAATAAAATATAATACTAAGACCTAAATACAATTTAAACTGTATCTCTAACTATAACATATTTAGGTAAGAAACAACTGTAAGTGCTATAGTCAATCAAACAGCCAACCATGCTATAGTCAATTTTGTGTACTCCGTTATGTATACTTGACACCAATTTCAAAATAACCATTGTTAGATTGCATATGTAACATCTACATTGGAGACTAAAGCTCAAACAACTCCATTGAAGGTGGGCGTGGCAGATGTCAGGAATTGAAAAAATTTATTAATTGTTCCAACTGTATTCATTCAGAGAACTTAGAAATGGAAGTGTCAAAAGGATGTTTAAGCATCTCATTGTCTAGACATACCTCTACAGTACTGCCATTGTATTATTGATTATACAGAGTGTCAAAGTAGAGAATTTTCATAGCTCGTTGGTCATGTGACAATACATCTAAAGTTTTTAAAGATTTGTTTTGAAAGAAAGGACTTAAAACTTGGATAAAATATAACTTTGAATGATAACACACATTAGAATATTAAATTCATTCACATACATTGATATTAAAGGTGTTTAACTAATTTTAAATGTAACACGGTGACTTGTGCAGAAAATCATTTATAGGGGCTCCCATTGGGAAAGGGTTAAATCATCCAAGATAAAGTGAAAAAAAATTTGCATTTTATATGCTTTACTCTGGAGATGTTAACATCATTCATGGCAAGAAAGCAACTACATGAATTAAATTATTCATCTTTTTCTGTCCAGATTTTTTATTTTTTTTGTGTCTGGCATTCCCATTTTACATCAGCTAGAGTTGGAATTTCTGTATTTGGTAAGTTTCATGTAATTTGGTTAAGCATTTCAGCTGTGAGAAAGAAAATAATCGGGAATATCAATGGCACCCCTGTAGTTCAGGAAAAGTTAAAAAGCCAATTGCATCCAAATAGGCCCTCATTGGTAATTAATTCTAGGGTAAAAATAGTTATTTAATATATTGGCATTGTCTGTGATTCAACAGAAAAATTAATAAGAATAGTAAGTTTTCATTCACAACTGACTCAACATTAATTATCGAAAGCTTGTTGAGTCAAGTTAGTTTATAGATATTTTAGTTTAAATGTGATTAAAGACTTTTTTATTTTAAGTTCAAGATAAAACATGATAGATTTTGATTGGTTCTATTAGTGTTAATTCTAACTACCTGGTAACATTCACGATGTATATTATTTTTGTGATAAATGTTACACTTTTCCCTGTCAGGAAGGAGAGTTTTCAGAAGATCTTGTCACATTCCATGCTGCTATTTCTCATCTGCAAAGAATGGAAGAAGAAATTCTGGATATTCATAAAACTGTTGTTGATGTAGGTTTTGTATATGTAGTAAAATCATAGCATTGACAAATCTTTTTTTTTTTAAAAAGTTTTTGTTTTTCTATTTGAGTGTAGAAACTTTAAATCTACAATAAGTTTTGCATCACTGTAATAGGTGAGTTGTTTAATAGTTTATCCACCTAGGAAAAGAATAATTTGTAAAGAAAAAGAAAACTTTAATTGTAAATGAACATTAATTATTGTTCACCATTATTTTATTTGGTCACAAATTTGTTAGCACACTACATCTTTTTAATTACTTCCAACACCAAAGGTAGATGGTTGTTATGTGTTCAACCGTGTGTGTGTGTGTTTGTATGTCAGCAAGATTTCTCAAAAATACCTAAATTAATTTGGATGAAAGTTGGTATACATTTGGACTACGACCCAACTCAAAAGTGATTAGTTTTGGGAGGGATAAAAGTCAAGGTCATGAAAATAAAAATTCCTATTTGTTAAAATGGAGATCAATTTTTCACTATTTTTGCTTTATAACTCAGTCAAAATTTATCAGATTTTGATGAAACTTTGTGGACATATGTAGAATATTATTCCTCATTGTCCTGCCAAAATTGGTCCATGTCTGTTGATGATGACGGACATACGGACACATTTTTGTATTTTTTTCAGAGCTGAATATGATCAACGCTGCATGACAGAGGTATGTGCTCTACTGAATGACCCTCAAATTGTTAATGTTACTGATTTTGTTTATTTATCTTTTCATATTGTTTTAGGAGCAAGGTTACCATGTTTTCATTGTCAGAAAATATTTGTATGTTACTTTTTAAGGTATGCATTAATTGTTCATATTAGTTACATTTTATTGTTTGAAAAAAAGTAGGAGATAAGCTCTGACAACCAGTTTATTCTCTTCAGGCAAGTCGTAAGTGGTTAGAAGTTGATAGCAGTCTTCTGAACATGGCAAATGAAGTAGATTATGATGTTGACTGTGAGTTGCATTTTATTATATAATTCCAAAAGTTTTAACATCATACGTGTGTAAATCTATAGTTAGTGTTACATAATTATTATCTGTTTTAAAGTATATTTAGAACTCAGATCAGTAGAAATTTTTATAATAGTTTATACAGTTTAATAGTAAGATTATAATTGTTGTTATCCTTAGCTTATGCTCAGCAGTTGGAAGGTGTGTTATCAGAGAAGATTGAAGCCCTTACAGTTTTTAAAGGTATTTTAACTTAGATGTTAATTATTTTGCTACATGTATAAAACTGTCTTATTACTTGATGTAACAGTGTCATAGAGAGAAGTTTAGTATGGTTGAAAATCTACTTTTGATAATTCATAAAAGTTCATAATTCTTCAGTTTCTTTAGCTATTGCAAAACTAGCAACTTAAGTTTATCCAAAAATGGATGCGATTATGAGAAAACTACCCTTTTAACCTATAGTCTTACACGCATCTATTTGATATATAGAGTGGTAAATGTTGAACTGATTAATGCCATCACAAGGGCTTCTTTTATATTTTATTTATTTATCATTACTTGTGCAGAAAAAGTCACCTCCTTCCGCCAACACTTGGCAGAAGAAGAACAGATCAGCAGAAACATCAAAAGAGTGCCAGCTAAGTAGCCTGTTTTAAATAAGTATCTCTCTCTTCCACTCCAGAAAGCACCTTACGGGTCCACAGTGTTTACTATGGGGGGACCAATGACATAAAGAAGTGCATCTGATAGCCTTTCTCGCTCGCTAACTTAAAACAACTAGAAAAATGCTCCTTTTTACCCGAGTATGTGTGTGCATAACACAGTAGTTATGAATCTCTTACTATAACTTGAAAGAGTGTAAGTGGGCATACTATGTATGATGCTGTATAGTGACACTTTTAAAAGAAAGAAGAAAAAAAAACTGATAATTTCTTGCTCATTTAGTGTAACTAGTGGTTTTGTTATGAAATAAAATGTTAACCAAGGTAAAAAAAAATTAATAGCTTTTTTTTTATAATTATAAGTGACTTAAAATGAGGTAATATTGGCAAAAACCATTTTCTTATTGAATTAGCATACAGTAAAATAGGAGAACGTGTACATACTAATTTCTTCAGCTTCTATTGATTCTAACCTCTGTTCAAACTAATTGAATTATTCAAACAAGTGTTATTTAAAATATGGACCATGATGTTTTGTATACTGTGTTTACATAATGATTTTAGATTCTGTAATGAACATTGTACAGTAGTTTAAGATTTGTATAGCTTTCACATAAAAAAAAAAAACAGCTTTCCTCTTGTAATTTTATACTGTTTTTCTTGCTTTCATTTGTATTACAGGCTAATCTGTTTTAAAAGTGCCACAATATGTCTTTTAATGTTTCCAAATGTAAGGATTCCATTGTTAAATAAAAGCCTTTTTATGATATACGTTAAGATTTCTTTAGTATTTTAGTCTGTTGAACTAGTACTTCATTGCAACTTTCTACTGCCACTTGTCCTGGTGGTTAGGGTACTCAATTTGCAATCAGAGGGTTGCGGGTTCAAATCTCCTTCACTGAGCATGCTCACCTTTTAAGCTGTGGGGGTGTTATAATGTGACAGTCAATCCTATTATTTGTTGGTAAAAGAGTAGCTCAAGAATTGGCAGCGAGTGATGTTGACAAGCTGCCTTCCCTCTTGTGTATCACTGCTAAGTTAGGGATGGCTAATGCAGATAGCCCGCGTGTAGTTTTGTGCAAAATTCAAAACAAACTGAATTACTGCCACATTTTTTTATTGTTTTAGTAAGTTGAACAGAAAACAATCAATGTGCTTTTTTTAAAGATGTTAGGTCCAACCCCCCCCCCAAAAAAAAAATTCTAGTAAAATGTGTTGCACACCCATTTTTATAACTAATATTTCATTTTAAATATGACACTCAAAGTAATTGGAGTATAACTACATTTTTCCATATTCTAGCTATGGTAAGACATATTGTTATTAAATAATGTTAGTGGTAACCCTGAATTTCTTTGCACAGCCCTTCAAAAGGCCAGAAAAATGTTTGATAACAAAGCAGATGTTTACTTTAAATACTAATGCAAAATTAGCATCAATATGGCATACTTAAAATGAGTGAAAATTGCTCACTTCTCCATCAGAGTTGCTTCCAGTTCAGTAACTCTGGTTGGAGGTGAATCATGTACTGCTTAGCATCTTTCCAAAACATCCTACACATTTTCATTTGATCCAACTCTACAAGTGTGCTAGATAAGTCCTATCTATCACTTTCAATACTCTTTTTTCGGGAACTTACAAATCAGTTTACCAGTTGGTCTATAGATAAAAGTTGCATGGCATTATAGAGTCATGCTATAGCACCTACAGGTTAGTGTGGCCACAATTACTGCTTCTTACTCAGAACAGTATACCACCACCATCCTGTCTTTAATTTTGTGAAATTTAGGTTGGATCTGGTCCTGACCAATCTACAAATACATATCTTACCCGGATACAGTGTGAAGCATAATTCAACTGTAAACAAGACATTTGTTCACACTTTTATCAATTCACATGTTCTGACACCATTGAAGATGGGCTGTTTTTTGTCAATGGGTTAGATAAATACATACTGTTGGTTGTCTTTTGCATCAGTTCTCAAACCATGGGTCACAGAAAAAGAC